CCAGAAAAAAAATATTTTAAAAATTTTACCAGCCTGGAGGGCCTATTATTAGTATGATGGAATAATGTGATTGAGAAATTAACTGGACTTATTTTCTACTGTAGACTCATTGCAAAGACGAAGGGAGATTCCACCCCCCCACACCCCCAAGCAATTAAACCTCATAGTCCTAGGCTGCTGGGTTTGCCTGGCTCAGGGGAGCTTGGATGCCCAGGAACTTTGAGACTTGGAGTTGAATTATCAAAATGCTATGCCCTTAGAGGGAAGGAGGTGGAGAGAAGAGAAGCGCAGTTCCCTAAGGAATTCCACACAAGGGATGCAGAACAGCAGAGAGGAACAGGATGGGGGGATAAGAGATACATTATGTGGTATCCAGGGCTTATTGACTGAGATGTGCACACAAATTGCCTGGAGACCTTGTTAAAATGCAGTTTTGATTCAGAAGATCTGAGGTGGGTCCAGAGATTCTACATTTCTAACAAGATCCCAAGCAGTGTGGATTCTGTTGTTCCTGGGACCCCACTTTGAGTAATAAGGGGTGAGGAGTAGGTAGGACTTCAAAGGAAGGGCACAGGAAAGTCTAAACGTCAAACCCTGTGCCACTGGAAGCAACGGCAAAAATTCTGAGTAGCTGAGTTGTACACTGAGCGAAAGGACACTATTCTCAGCAGAGCTGCCCGTCTTCAAAGGAGTCACTTCAGTCTGTACAAACAGCATCTATTCCAACGGACTACAGGAAGAACTGAAGCCTTACCCATATTTTCTGGCCTATTTATCTACAACCTCTTAGGCTTCTTAAATGACCCTAGGGAAGAGAAGGAACGCAACTCCCAACCCCCCATAGACTGAATTTCCAAACTACCTTGGCTTGAGGAAGGAACAGTGGAGGACCCGAGCTAAACATATTTAGTTTAGAAAAATTAAGAAATGTGAAATTTTTTTTTTGAACCCAAGTATCATGGAGCGAACTCATGTGAGTTACCGCTTTAATCTCAAACTTAAAGAGAATCAGATTCAGGAATTGATAAATAATTATTTATCAGTTATTCAAAGAACAAAAGTTAGAGGATGATGAATAAATGTCCTTAAGCCTTGATGTGGGGCATTTGGGGGCTTCTGACAAGTAAAAGTAGTTGGAGGATGTAAGTGCCTCAAAAGATCTGAGGACTTAAATTCCTTATCATTCAATGATTTTGCTGTAGTCACCAAAGAAGATAGACCTTCCCCTTATACAGACCCTTCAAATTGCTCTGAGATTTTTTTTTCCTCCATCAAGTCCTTGCTTTTCGTTTAAACATGATTTCACCAGTATAAACATATTCGGGAGAAAGACCCAGTTTGATTTTCTTCTGCCAGCATCTTCCAAAGATAGCCTCGCATCCCATTCTCTCATAAAAACAAGTCTTAAAAATAAATGAAGGCAGTAAGTGCTGTGTCCAAAGCCAAGTTCGTTCCAAAGTTGAGAGTAATAAAATCCAGGGCTCCCTTTCCCTAATTCAATTTCGAGAGCAAATGCCTTTCATTGGTAATTTTGTTTGTAACCTCTGATCCTGCCATCTCCAGGACCCGATGTTTTATTAAAGCATTTTCAATCTGGTTCTGATTATATAAGAAAAGTTTGTGCCTATACTCATCAGTGTCTCAATCCGCATGGAGATATCAGCTTGATTTGCCCTCAAGTCTCCAAAAGATCTAAAATCAAGGGAGAAGGTAAGAAGAAATTACTCTATCTTTTGCCCAATCATCTATCTAAACTTGAGAAATCAAAAGTCACATTTTTGCTCGGCCATCAGTTTTTAAAAAACTAGATGCCAATGTTTAACATACAGGAATTTCACACAAAAATCCAAATTTCTAGTTTCTCTTAAAAAATCAGTTTTGGCGACATCTGGCTGCTGTCCCAAATGGCCAAATACTGGTGTAGTGGACATTTGTGATCCTTTGGCCACCAGCATCTGAACCCCTCTACTATGTTCAGGGACTGTTTCCAGTTCACAAGGCTTGGTGGGAGGCCGATGTTATTCTCACCATTTAAACTGTATACCAGGTACTCACTAGCATGCAACCCAGGCCTGGCCAATTTGACATGTCTCCCAGGGGTTTTTAAATGCAGCATTAGTTTTAGGAAGAATCCACTACAGGGGAGAATTGGTGAATTCTTTCTGACAGTGGAAACAGTGAAAGCAACATCCAGATTCTAGGGACCGCAGGGAAGTAGCTTCTGAAGGTCTGCAACAGTTGCCTTATTGGCTGGGTTCCGTGTAATAATTTTGACCATGGTTTTGGTTCTATGGCCTGTCTTTGTCCCGTTTTCCAAGTCAGGTTGTCCGGCCTGCCTCCCACTGATTGTACATTATTTAATATTTCATTGCTACATTCCTTTTCTGCTTAAATCTTCCATCTACAAACTCTACTCCCTTGAGGCAGGACATAGTTTCCACTCAACCCTCCTATATCTCAACTTCCAGGCTACTTATAGAGATGGGAGCTCATAATCCTGGTCTTCATCTCTCTTTTTCTCTTTAAAGTGACAGAATTTTGGCACTGAGAGAGAGGCTGGAGATGGCCTACGGCAAGGATCAACAAAGTAATAAGGAAAGTTTCCTAAAGGTGCCACCCCTATTTCCCCTGACATCTCATTGGGCAGAACTGGGTCACATGGTCACCCTGTAAGTCAATCAGGAGACCGGGGTTGCTGTGATTGGCTTAGTCTAGGGCAGTAGTTCGACTTTGGTCGAATATTAGAATCATTTGGTAAGCTTTTAAAATGCCAATGCTAGATCCTACCCCCAAAGGCCCAGTTTAATTGGTCTGGCTGGACTTCTGGCATTGGAATTTTTTAAAAACTCCTCAGGTCCTTTCAATGCCATCTCTCTCTCTCTCTAGTCCAGCCTCCAGCCCTTATCATTTTACAGGTGCCAATATTGAGGTCCAAAAATATACTAAGTAACTTGACCAAAGGACTATAGCTTCAATTAATAGCAAAAACAGAAACAAACAAAACCACACCGGTACACAAATGACATTTAATAAGACTCCTTTGTTTTTCCATAACGTGCAGGTGAGTATCCATTCTTTCTCTTAGAAAGTCAAGTCATGGAGAGCTCAAAGGCTGAGAAGCAGTAGAGTGTAGGGCAGTTGTTCTCAAATCTAATTGCATCAGAATCCCCTGGAGGGCTTGTCACAACAGAGAGGGCTGGGCCCACCCCCACAGTTTCAAATTAGATGGGTTTGGGGTGGGAGGAAGAATAATGAACATTTCTAACAAGTTCCCACAGGATGCTGCTGCTGCTGGTCCAAGGACCACACTAGTGTAGAGGCTAAGAGCTTAGGCTATAAAATCACATTATCTGATTAAGATCCAGTTCTGTCCCCGATATGTAGTCAGAATATGGGCAAGTTATTTAACATGTCTATGTAACCAGGCCAATAGCTTCAGCTTATCACAACAATTAAGTGAGTATAATAAACGTAAAGCACTTAGAACAGTGTCTAGCCTATAGGAATTCTCTAGTGAAAATCAGCTATTATCATTCACTCATTGAATAATTACTGAGTGCTTCCTTTGAACCAGACACTGTTCCAGGCACCGGGAGTACAGTGGTGAATAAGTCAAAGCTTAGCCTCTCAATTAGCTTCCAATCTACTGTGGATAACCTTGTAAATATATAATATAATGATGTCACACAGAAAAATTCTGCATTCCAAGCAAACTGAATAGCAGTTGCACACAGAGTTTTATGAGAATTTGGTCCAATCTTGTTTGCATCTTCTAGCTCAAGGAATTGGTGGCATCGGGTTTCTAATGCAAAGGCCCCAAGGCAATACGGCTCTTACCATAATGACTGAATAAGTCCAGGTTATAGCATTTTAGTTAGGATTCTCCAATAGAAAAAAAATATATATGTGTGTGTATATAATTTATATTGATGTTTATGCTTAATTAGATTTTAAAATATATTTCTATATTCTATATCACACAATAAACATACTATTAACATATAATGTATTATGTATTAACAATATATATTAATAAGTTATATATAATAACTATTTTGCATTTTAAATATATTTTTAATTTTTTATATATTCACATTTATCTAATATATATATATATCATAGGAATCAGCTCACATGAATATGGAGGCCAAGAAGTCCCACAATCTGCTGTCTGCAAACTGAAGACGAAGGAAAGTGGGTGGTGTAATTTAGTCTGAATCCAAAGGCCTGAGAATAAGAACACAGGTGTCTGAGGGCAGGAGAAGATGGAAGTCAGATGTCCTAGTTCAAAAAGAAAGCAAATTCACCCTTCCTCTGCCTTTTCTTTCTATTCAGGCCCTCAATGAATTGGATGATGCCCACCTGCATTGGTGCAGGTGATCTTCATAGTCTACCCAAATACCAATCTCTTTCAGAAACACCCTCACAGACACACCCCCAAAATAATGTTTTACCAGCTCTCTTAGCTCAGTCAAGTTGACACATAAAATTAACCCTCACAGGCATAGTCGCACCAGCCAATTCTTTAGGTCTTGTTTGAGAGGGAACATTCGGAACAAGAACAGATAGGTGGACAGCGTGTTAGAAGGGAAAGGCTAGTCAGTCTTCCTGTGCTGTCACATATGCTATTTCATTTAATCCTCACAATCATTTTGGGGTAGATATTATTGGAAGAGGAGGGAAGCAACCTGCCCCAAGCTAAATGGAAAAAGTGTCATGCTAATGATCTGAACAATTACTATTAGAACTGGCCTGGGAGGAAGCAGAGAGTAGAGGAATTGTCATACCACAAGGCACACCTGACCCCCTTCTTCTAAATCCCCAAGCAGGGCCTAGAGTGAAGCCATAACTGCCATCATGTATGTGCCCACGGTCTCCCTATTCTGTTCCTAAAACAGGTGACAGTGATGTAATTAGATGCAAGGAGTGGCTACTTCTGAATTAGAACACTCTGACCCCTGCCAGCTGCATTTCCTCCCAGCATTGTCTTTCTCAACATGTAGAGCAAACAAACAAAATAACTTTATTATGGATTTACTAGACACTCATTGCTGGGAAATACAAACCAGCAAAGTAGAAGAAAATAAAAGTGGTCCATAATCCCCTCATCTCAGGAAAAAAACACTACAATTTTTGATCCCCATTCTCTGCAGTAACTTCAGATCATAGGGTCCCTGTCCTCTATGCCTATTAACTAGCCCTTTCCAGTTACACACATTAACCTAATTGGAAGTTTATTTTTTTGTTTTCATCTGGACTTGTTTCTGGAGATTGGTTCTCTAAATTATGTTGGGTGAGGGATGTGGATTAGGGAGAGATTGTAGCTGTATGTGTTCGGAGTTGTTTTTCAATTCGAAGTACTCACCTCCCAGCTTTGGGGCCAGAAGGTTTTTCGAGCCTTTTTTCATCTGGTATCTGTATTCAAGCACTGGCCGTGTTATTTGGGGTTTTTTTTTGGTAGTGCTGGCAGCCTTCTGCTCCTTTGAACGGCAAGTGTTTGAACTTTGGCAATGACTGGAGTTGGCTTTGGCAACGAGACTTTAATTTGTAATGATGACTGGCGGTTGCAGGGGTGGCTTGGCCGCTCCCTGGCTCCCCTCTCACTGAGCTCAGGAAGCCTCTCTGCACCGGAGAGAGGGCAGCGCGGACTAGAAGCGGAGAGCGGGAGAGAAGTCGGCTGCCCGCGCTTCGCGGTAACCAGGCAACCGGCGCCTTAGCAACAGAGAGGGGCGGGACCGAAAAAGGAAGTCGGAAGCAGCAGCTTAACCTCGCGAGATTTGCTTTTGCGCGCGAACTCTAAGTGCGGGTTCCCGGAGTTAGATTCGGGCTAGTAGTTGTGCAGGCCCTTGGGGGATGCGACCACCCTAGCCGATCCCGACACCTTCATCACCCCGTCATGGAAACCTCAGCACACAAGCAGCAACAGCAGCAGCCCGCGGCGGCCAAGATCAGGAACCTGCCCTGGTAGGAGAAGGCCCGGCTGGCGCGGGGAAGGGGGTCGGCCGCTCCGGAAGGCAGTAGTCGGGTGGGCAAGTGACCCGGCCCCAGCCCGATCTCGCCCCGCTGCCCCTGAACCTGCAGCCGGGACGGAGCCACAGAGGTTCGCCTTGACAGCCCCAACTCCCCAGTCCCCGTCGGTTCTATTTATGACTTGCCTGATCTCCCTGTCCCCGCCCCCACACCCCGCCCCATTTCTTTTCCCGAAGAGGAAAGCGGCTTTCGCACCTGGGTGACAGCATAGGAGTTTGATCCCGCGTCTTCTAACACTGCATTGCCCACCGTACCAAAATGTCCTCTTCTCTCTTGCCAGAATCTTCGATGCGATTACTGGTCAAATTCTAAACTAGAATAAAAATAACATTCCCTAGTTAACTTTTATTTAAAGGGCTTTCTATTAGATTATCAGGCACCCACTAGATGTTTGATCTTTTCAAAGACCATAGGTGGTAGGTATTCTTTATTATTCCAATTTTACAATTGGAGTAATGCAACCAAAATGATTAAATGACTTGCCGAAGGTCCAGAGCTAGAAAACAGATTTGGATTTGAACCCAAGTGGTCTGCATTAAGAGCTTGGGCTCTTAACCATCCTACTTCTACACCTATGTCCTAATGATGTTTTGATTTCTGAAAACTCCAGTCTTGTCTAATAACGAGTTCATTTTGTTTTTATCGTGGTAAAAACAGGTAACATACAGTTTACAATTGTAACTATTTTATAGTGTACAAGTCAGTGGCATTAAGTAGATTCAGAACATTGTGCAACCATTCTACTATCTAGTTCCCCAATTTTAAATCACCCCAGATGGAAACCCCATACCTAATGCTAGTCACGCCCCCTTCCCACTTCCCTCAGCCCCTTGGCAACCACTAATCTACTTTCTTTCTCTATGAATTTACCTATTCTGGATATTTCATATAAATACAATCAATATGTGACTTTTAGTGACTAGCTTCTTTGTTGTAGTGAGTACCACACTCCATTTACTTTTATGGCTACATAATATTCCATCGTGTGGCTATGTCACTATTTATTTATCCATACATCTGTTAATCTATACTCAGATATGAATTCAATTTTGAATTCAATTTTGAATTCACTTTGAAATAACAGGTACCCATCCAGGTTGGGATTATAGGCAGACAGTTGGAAAGGTGAAATGAGAGCAGAGTTTATCAACCTCAGCATTTATTGACATTTTGGATTAGATACTTGGGAGAGGGATGGGGACTGTCCTGTGCAGCGTAGGATGTTTAGCAACGTCCCTGGTGCCTACCTATTAGATGCCTATAGCACCTTCCACCCAACTATGACAGTTGAAAATGTGTCCAGATATCACCAAATGTTCCCTGGAGGACAAAATCACCTCTGGTTGAGAACCACAGGTCTGTATTCAAATTTAAAGTGTTTTGTTTCTCTTCCTCTTTTAGTTAGTATATGAAAGGATTTTTTGGTACATGATAAAATGTTCTTGCATTTATATATTGTAATCCATGCTAAATTGTATTACAGGGTTGAAAAATACCGGCCACAGGCACTGAATGATCTCATTTCTCATCAAGACATTTTGAGTACCAGTAAGCATCCATGTGTCAGTTGCTATTCTAGTTGAAGGACCTGTATACGTTTCTTGGTGATGTTGTCTCTGCTGAGTAAGAACTTCGAAGAATCTGATTTGAACTTTATGGAATGTTGCTATAAACATTGAATCCTTCAGATTTTTTATTTCTGCATCTGCCTCTGATCTGAACAGAGGATTGAAATGTATTCAGCCCAACTCAAGGGCCCACAGTGAATGAAGCAACTCTCAGAAACTGATGGTGTCTTTCTTCCTTATCCTCAGTTCAAAAATTCATCAGTGAAGACCGACTGCCACACCTGCTTCTCTATGGCCCTCCAGGGACAGGAAAGACATCCACCATCCTAGCCTGTGCTAAACAGCTATACAAAGATAAAGAATTTGGCTCTATGGTCTTAGAGGTAAATAAGAGGACTATTCTTACTGGACAAAGGACTCCAGTCTCTTTAGTTCTGCTGGTTTTGTTTTACTTTACTAATTAAGTTGTCCTATTGGGGGCTGGGAAAGAAGCAGACATAAAAACTTTCAATTCACTTTTTTCTATATTTGGCATTTTGGCCTGGGTTGACATTAGCTAGAGGGCAGTTATAGGGCTAGGTATTTGCTATTGCCAACTTATACCCACTCAGTGGTCGCTCAGTGAGTGTTCACTCAGTTGCTGGCTACGTCCCACGCGCCCTTCCAGATCACTTCTCCACATCGCTGCACCTGGTTCTTGCCCCAGAAGACTGAGCTGTGTTGACTTCAAACTCTTTTGCCCTCTGGTTAGGTTTGGTCAATAGGGGTGCTGGCAGGAGTCAGGGGAAAGAATGATGCTTGGTCCTGCTCTGGGGGTCACCACAGGCTGACAGCATCCCCACCTGCAGGGTACATTACACTGCCTTCTCCAGGTGCCAACACCACTCCCCCACTCACCCCATAAGACTTGCGTTGGCCATAGGCCCCAGTAATCCCTGAGTTATTGCAGAGCCCTTGTGGTTTCCCCACGCCTCACCACCAACTTTATAAATATCTCTCCATATACTTCTCTTTAAATTACTGAATTTGAGTTTGCCATCTGTTCATTGCTGGGACTTGACTGATAACAAAATTCTAAATATTGTCTATTACAAGGAAAAAGGTCAACTTTTTTTGTTATGGATCTTAGAACTTTACAGCCACTGATGTTCTTACCTCAGTATATTAAAACCTTGGTAACTTCTGGGTTGTTCTAGATGTGATAGCTAAAATTAGCATCATTCTGCTTATGCCAGAGGTGCTATTCACTATGACCAGGCCAATTAATTATTCCTCCAGTGTATGTCAGTGATTGTCCTTGAGAAGAGGGAGGAAAATCAAACGTTTACCTTTCGCAGCATAATGTAATGATCTAGTGAGCTGAGTTTTAAATACAATTGTGATCTTGTTTTTTCATGGTGATTATTTCTTAGTTGTCATTAGACCTGAAGATGGAGCTTGGTGAGCTGGGTTGATGAAAAGCTACATTAATTCATAGATAACACACCAACATGTTTTTTATTTATTCTGGCTTCTTTCTTTCACATTTAGCTGAATGCTTCAGACGACCGAGGAATAGATATCGTTCGGGGACCAATCCTGAGCTTTGCTAGCACAAGGACAATATTTAAGTAAGAAACATTGCGTAATTTCTCTCCCTAGGTATTTTGATCAGAGAGATGATAGAGCCTAATTTTTTTGATCCCCTCCTTTGCCAGTTTGTAAAGGTTAAAAAAATGACTGTGTCAAAAGCATCCATGAAAAACAGCTAAAGTACAGGGATGGTGGTTAAAAAAAAAAAAAATTTAAATGCAAATATTAAAATAAAATATTAATCTGAGTCGATATGAGCAAATTCTTGGGAGAAGCACTACCTTCATTTTATTAGTCAACTGAGGCCTGATAAAACATCCTAGGCCTAGATGAACTAGTTTGAATATACACAAAAATGAATTGTGATCAGGATGGATAACTAGGATGGGGTCTAGAAAAAAAGGGTGAAAAGACAGGCATAAGCTCAGGTGGCGGTGACAGGATAGTGTGGAAGACGGGTTGGAGGAGTGATGGGCCAAGTCCGCTTTGGTCATAGTTCTAGGAGAAATGGACTCTTACGAAACGGCCTGACAGCACAAATGCAAAGATGTAGATTTGGGTCTGGAGGTTGAAGTGAGATTGAAGAAAGGGGTTGGAGGAGTGATGGGCCAAGTCCTCTTTGGTCATAGTTCTAGGAGAAATGGGCTCTTACGAAACAGGGCCTGACAGCACAAATGCAAAGATGTGGATTTGGGTCTGGAGGTTGAAGTGAGATTGAAGAAATCTTTGGATGGTACCATCTGTTTTTCCTAGGAAAGGCTTTAAACTAGTGATCCTGGATGAAGCTGATGCCATGACTCAAGACGCCCAGAATGCCTTGCGGAGAGGTAAGAGCTGCCAAGTACAGTGTGTCGGCCGATGAGCACATCAGAAGGGGAATTAGGAACTTTAGACATGAGAAATGACATGCCTTGTTTTCAGTTTTGTTCATCATCCGGCCCAGAGAAATCTCCATATACTTTTCTCCTTGTATCCCATCTGATGAGCCAGAAAAAATATCTCTGTATTGGGGGTTTTCCCTTTCAGCAGCTTAAAGACAAAAACCCTTTTGAGACTTCTGAGTATGACCAGACACTGGTGTTGCATCCTCCTTTTCAGCTGGGTTCAGTTTCAGGGCTGGGAATTTGTATTGTTCGATGGAAGGTTAAGGAAAGTCTTTCATTCCTAAACTGCTGGATAGCCCTTTCTGCTATCGGTGCCCTTAGATATGAAAGAGCCAAGAAAATAATACCGGAATTTTAGTCACACTCAGAAAACTGACATTACTTCACTACTTGCCAAGTGACTGATTTGGCAGGGGAGGGGGAGTATGTGGTGATTTTTCTGTCTTAAGGGGCCTGGGGCAGTTAATTTCTTGGAGAGGACATTCACAATCTCTCTCCTTAAAGTAATCATCTAGAGAGAAGGATGATCTTTAGGAGTTCTGGGGAGAAGGAGTGGGTTGGAGCCAGTGTTTACAGAGAGGAGGAGGAGGACAGAATATCTTCTGGTCCCAGAAGCTTTGGCAGTCTTTCTTTCGCATCTTGTTCTGGAGAGTGACTGTCAGTCTGGGCAGATCCCTGTGCAAAATATTGGATACCTCCCGAATGAAACTGGTGTCACAAACATCTCTGAATTCAGGTTGTTACTCTTCTTTGAGGCTCTAAGGCTTTGAGACAAGGTCCACTGGAAGGTCTGAGAAAAGGCACCCCTTCCCCACCTAGTAGGAGGTGGAGGTGGAGCATCATCAACCTATCAAATAGAATTTTATGCAAAAGAACAGGAATACTGGATCTCGTATCCTAATGGAATGGGATGGCAAGAGCACCAGAATCATGGCGAATCATAAAAAAGGAAGCATTTTATAAAATACTGTGGGGACACACTTGTCAGCTTTGGAAAGTGGCTGATCTCCAGTCCCGACCACCCCAGTGACACCCACTCTCACGACAGTAGCATCCCCACTTGCCTGCATTCGTCAATTGTTGTACTTGTTTCCTGTACTCTTCATGTGACCATAGAAAAATTCAGGACGTCTGGGTCCTTTGAAGACTGAGAATGGATGTGAGGAGGCTTTCTTTTCTCTTGCCAGTGATTGAGAAATTTACTGAAAATACCAGATTTTGCCTCATCTGTAACTATCTGTCCAAGATCATCCCCGCCTTGCAGTCCCGGTGTACAAGGTTCCGATTCGGTCCCCTGACTCCTGAACTCATGGTTCCCCGCCTGGAACATGTTGTAGAAGAAGAAAAGTAAGTATATTGAAAAGCAGGAAAGGCGAGGTCTTGGGGACTGAGTGTAGTGTAAGTTGGGTTTGAGATGACTGGCTGGTTCACATTTAAAGGTGATGTTTGTAAATGACTTAGCAGAGTACCGAGCACGGGATAGACATCAGGGTCTGTTAGCTGCTGTCATTTTCTCAGGTATGTCGTGGACATTCAAATGTCATCTGGGTCTTGATTCTTCCATTCTCCTGTCCTGGAAGCTGTCCCAGTTCCCTCCTCCTCTTCTTTTGTCATTGGGAACTGCTTGCTGCCAAGTCCCTTCTGCTCAGATGCCTCTAGCCTTTTTTGACTAGAAGGGAAGGTACTGAAATATTACATTCCGTGTAATCAGATGCGAAGCAAGTAGCCAACCTGAGCTATTGCTGATTTGAAAGGAGGTTTTGGCTCTACGATCATACGTCTCACCAGTGCTCTCTCCTCTCCAGAGAACGTAGTTCAAAGCCAGTTGTTCGACATAGCAGTGCTCGGTCCTGAGCGTCGTTCTAGACTTTGAGTGGGCTGTGACCGTTAATGTGAAACCATCATTGCCCAAAACCAGAGTGAATTCTCGATCCTATAGATCAGGAGAGTATAGTTAACTCCATCCTTCCTTTTTTTTTTTCTTTCATTATTTCAAAACCTTAATCATCCCAGGCCTTCTTGTTCCCTTGGTGAATGCCTGGACTCTCAGAGGCCTCTCCATCCCTTCTGCCTGTTTCCTTTCAGAGTTGATATAAGTGAAGACGGGATGAAAGCACTTGTCACTCTTTCAAAAACTCTTTCCAGTGGAGATATGCGAAGGGCTCTGAACATTTTGCAGGTACAGTGCTACTCATGGCAAATCTCAGGTGGTTGCTTTGGAACAGTTTTTCAAGAAAGAGATAAGCAACAGCACAGCCAGTCAGTAAATTCAGAAATCTAGAACTGGGTAAGATCTCGATCTCATAATGTGCCAGCAGTCTCCCCACCACCTTTGTGTTTGATTAATTGAAAGAATAATCTGTCGCAAACAAGGGGACAATAGGGAAGGGTTGGGCGGCTGTAACACAGCCAGCAAGCTGCAGCATCCTCTGGCGAGGCTGGCCTCACCCGTGTGAACATACAGGGTTGGAATTCTCCTAGGTCCTTGCAGTGCTGCTGCCTCAGCAGCTCCCTCCCGACCTGCCTACAGATTTGGCGGCTGCTTTGACAGCCACTGATTTTCTCCCTGTCTACACAGAGCACCAGTATGGCCTTTGGGAAGGTGACAGAGGAGACTGTCTACACCTGCACGGGGCACCCGCTCAAGTCAGACATCGCCAACATTCTGGACTGGATGCTGAATCAAGACTTCACCACAGCCTACAGAAGTATCCTTTCCCACGTCCTGCCGACAGTGCGTCACATGCCCATGCCCTGAACTTGGCCCTAGGAGCTCAGGCTACAGCCAGAACCTGTGCCCTACTGGCAAAAGACAGTTGGCGGTGTGACTCTGGTCAGCTCGTAATGGGAGCAAGATGGGTATAGGTGAAATCAGTACTTGTCTTTAATGCCCCAAAGCTTCACGAGGGGCTCTGGCCTGGGTACAGCTTGAAGCCATTTCACTCAGGTGGGAGAGACGCAGTTAGACCTTAGGATGGAAGATGCAGTCATTTTCAAATGGTCTTTGTTACTCATTTTGCTGTGAAATTAAAAGCTAGGTGTAGTAATATAAAGCCTTTCGGGGAATGCATTTGGCTCTGTTCTCTACTAGACAGATATAGTTATATGTTTTAGAAAGCCCCTACTGAAGATGAAAACAAAATTAAGAATTGGGGTTCAACATGTACAGTTTCAGATCAAAGAAAACAACTATGTTGGAATTAAAAGCCCTCCTTTCAAAAGTCACCGGGCTTTGGATTCAAAACTCTCTGCAGCATGTTTGTTCTGGAACTTGTTCCCTTTGCCTTAACTCTTCTTTAGATATTATGGAATTGAAAACTCTGAAGGGGTTGGCATTACATGATATCCTGACAGAGATACACTTGTTTGTGCACAGAGGTAACTTACATTATTCCCTAGTTTAGAAGCTGTGGAGGTGGCATGCTTTGTAACTAAGGGTGGTTAGAGAGAGAACATGAAACTTTCACTTTTGAAGCAAAGAAACAATAATGAAAAAGTATAAACCTGACCCCTCATTGTTATTTAAAACTTTGTTCCAATAATACTTGAACCTCAAGAACTGCTGGGGAGAAAGTAGAAACTCCTGAAGCCTAACTATTTCCTCTAAGGGTTTGTATTTTACAGCAATAAGTAGTATGTTTTAATTCACATTTCTAAAAGAATATTTTCCCCACAAGGAGAGAGAAAGAAGATCGATCTGCACGTGAACCAAAGCTGTCTTAAACCGTTTTACGTCCCACACTTGATCGTATCTTCTATACAGGGAATTGGTTCTCAGTCTCGGCAGCATGTAGGAATCAGTCCCCTGTCCCGACTAGTTCAGTTGGGGGTGAACTGGGCGTCAGGATTTTTCAGCTCTCCAGGGGATGTGTCGTGCAGCCTTTTGGAAAAGTTCTTCCTCACAGCAGCCAACCACACAGCTGGGCCCATGATCGTTGGTCCCCAGATCCATGACTAGTCCACTGGTGCTTTTACCAGCCTCTTCTCTGCTGGTGGACGGCACGTTAACTTCTGCCCGAGACCATGGCTGGCTCAAGCCTGCTCTGCACGTGGAAGCTGAGCATAAATCGACTTTTACAAATCAAGGTTGTTTTAAAAATTGGGAGAGCAAGTGAGAACTCAGCTTTCATGTTAACTTACAGAGCTACCCAGTTACTAAAAGAACAGTGTTGATGATTCTTCTGTGCTCTTAGGATCACTCTGGAATCTAATTTTTCTTTTCTTGGCTTCACTGTGAATACTCACAAAATGGAGTGGATAGAAACTGAAAACCTATACAATTTTTACTTCCTTAGAGGTGTGGTATCCAGTGATCTGAGACTTCAAGAAAAGTTGTGTTATTCATTTGACATTTAGACTCATGCTTCTGGGATTTTTTTAAACAGTAGGGCTTGACAGACCTCACTCATTTGATTTTGTTTTACCCCCAGTTGACTTTCCATCTTCAGTTCGAATACATTTATTGACTAAAATGGCCGACATTGAGTGAGTATTTTCCAATTTTAATTCTCCCTTTTTAATTTGTGGGGTTTTTGTTTCTATTTGCTTGGTTTCAACTTTTTTGTCTAAATCCTTCCTACACGGTACAACGTAGTTTTTGGTGGGATTGAATGAAGCATGCGGAAGGGTTTGAATTGCTTAAAGAACATGTGAATAAACATAAGGACTGGTCCAGCTCAGTCACATGTTTGAGATAAAGCCCTCCAAGGCTTGACCTACACTGGTTCTGGAAATGCTCTTGTTATTTGGGAGGCCCGCTTCCGTTCAGACCTCTAGGTTTGGGGACAATCAGCTACCCAGCTATTAAGGCATTTTGGCATACTAAAGCATATTGGGAAAAGTAAACATAAACTTAATTTTCCACTTTGTCTGGCTCAGTAAACACAGTTATTAACACCCACTGAAAATGGCAGCTGTCATTTAAGTAGACAAAAGTATTGGGTTCAAAATAAGCTGTCAACATAGGCCAACTCTAATTTGCTGTCATTGGCTTTCAGATGTACAAATTAGGTGACTTCTTATCACTACATTGTGAATCTCATTATTCTGCTTTTAATTGTTTAATCACTTGAAAGGTGACAAGATGAAATGCCTGTGTCCTGCTTTACTGATTATATACCACAGAACCACAGATATGTCAGCCAAACTTCCCACTGAATTAAGGAAATCTCAATTATAATTCTTCTCAATGTATTTTGTGGGTAAAGAAATAATCCTTAATCTCATAAATTCTGCATATTTATATACAGCTAGAACAAAGTTAAGTTCAGGACACTGCTGTTGATAACACTTTTTTAATTTAATTTTTCCTCACCAATTTGAATCTAATCTGTAAGTGTGTTTAGGGCAGAGAAGAGAAAATGTTAGGGGACTCATACAAGCTTGATGTCCAGGATCAATTTTTATTACCTCCTACCTATCCTCCAGCAGATTCTGTCTTTGATCTCTCTTGTTGTTTTATCAAAGGGTAGCTGCCTGTGGCGTTCTCTATTCTTACCTTTTGTTTGATTTCTTTTAGGTACAGACTTTCTGTGGGCACCAGTGAGAAGATTCAGCTGAGTTCCCTCATTGCCGCTTTTCAAGTCACAAGAGACCTGATTGTCACAGAGGCCTAGATGCTGAGGATCATTTGCTGCATTTCTCAGGCTCAGCAGTGACTGGAGAACAGGGGACTCAGTTACAGGATGAATTGCTGCCTGAAGCCACAACCACCCCAACTCTTGGAGTATGCCATTCCAGGCATGGGTGGCAGATATAGAAAAAGTACCTTGTTTGTGGCTGTTTGGAGCAGAGATGAACAAAACAGTTTTAATGTACAACTGTCTTATTGCACTGCCCACTTTTGTTTTATGGTGCTGGGAAGGGAAAACCTTCATTTCAGCTGTATCTTTTTTTAGAGTAGGTGTTAATGGATTTCTGGCCCAAACTGCTATACTCATAAAATGGACTCAGTTCTCTTACTTTAAAAACTGGTCTTTTTATTTCTTCTCTTGAAGTAGAGGAGTTACTAGCAGGTTCCTAATTGTGGTGGGGACGGTAGAGAAAACATCCACTTTAATTTATGCCATTAGGGGCCAGGAGGTTGTACAATACTCGGTTATTTAATGCAGGGAGGGCACATGAGATTAGTCTGACTCTAAACCTGCAACTGCCAAAAGGATTAGGACCTGTGTACAAACGTAGCAGTGTATTTTACAGCAGTTACGCTGCATTCATATCGCTCTTCACAATAAAAATAAAGCAGCTTTCTTGTTGGTTGTGTTACAAGTGACTCATCTGTCCTTAGCCAGTTACAAGGACAATGACTTATTCAACTTGCATCGATCTGAAAACCTCTACCTCTGATATCACGGAATAAACTTTGGAGGCTATTCTTTATAAAGGTGTCAAATTCGTATACTACCAAAAGGGAGGAGTTGGTTATTTCCATCATTCACATAGAGGACTTGCTCCCCGTGGACACCAGTGAAGTTTTAGGCTCATGGCCGAATGGCCTCAAGGAAGCCACCTGGAGCCTCCCAGACTACGATGAATGATTTTTTCAAGATAACCAAAAATTTAAAAATTTGCCCAATCCATTCCCAGCTGTCTTGTTGTACTCACTTATTTTAAAGATGACTTTTTTTTCTTAATGGAAAAAATGAAACGGAGAGCCAAAAGCCTTTAACTTTTTCCTTCAATGAAAGCCTCTCATCTTGAAAAATGTTTTTCTTCAGCAACAAAGGTGGTAGAGGAGACTCCTACTTTTCCAACCATGTTTTATGTTACACTGGCCTCCATAAAAACACCTATTAAGAAAGCCAAAGGATAAGATGTTGCACTTTTTAAAATAATTTAAAATATATTAATTTTTCCAAAGGCAGATTTTGTTTGGATGAGGTGTCTTGATTAGATAACTACATGCCACTGTAGAACAGTACTTTTAAGGAGCTATATTTGTTTAGGGATAGAGCTAAAACTGGCTCATTAGTCCAATGAGGGGAAGCAGCAAAGTCAGACCTCGTACGTAAGACTATTGGCTGAAGTGATGACAACACCAATTCTTTACACAATCAAGGAGACATCTTTACAACTGTTCGACTTAAGTACTGTGGTTTTTAGACACCATCAAGAAAAACACAGTTGTACCTTACCATCTGTTGAGAAAACACAAATAAATATGCTAATGAATGGCAAACAACGGACAACTCAGCCATTTGAACAGTCATGCAGTTTAGGAATAAATCCTTGTGTAACCTGACAGAAATTTGTCATCTGCACATGCACACCGTTGTTTAAAAAAAAAAAAAAGCCAATTATAGTGTCTGTATCAGTCAGGAGCATAGCCTCTGAGTCACCTGTAATTTAGTTAATATCAGAGGCCGTTCCGTGAACACTTTGTCCTGCTGGTCAGAGAGGAGCTAGAGGAGGGAGAGACTTGCCAACATCACAGCGACTGACACAGCAGCAGAGAGCTTTAAACAACGCCACCACCGCATCTGAAACAACAATGGTTAAGTGCCAGTCAGAAGCCACACTTCCCAGCAGGGGGAGTTTAAAACCCTCTGCACCTACAGAGAGGCTCTGGAGGCCTACTTAGTTATTCTTATCGAAACATCAGTAACTGCACTTTGAATCAAAACTACTTGGAAGAGTTCAAACTTGTTTGTAAGTGGACTGAAGATTTAAGGTAAGGCTCTGTGGCCACAGAAGTGGAATCTCCTCCTCTCTGACTGACTTTCATGTGTCATGCGGACAAGATCCATGACTAGTCCACTGGAATCTGGTTTTGCTACATTCTATTCAAGATCCCAAAGAAACTATTTCAATCCATGACCAGATGTTTGGCCCATTATTCCAGCTACTCCTTTACCAGGAAGATTTATCCTGCTACAAAGAAAACAAGACCATGTAGCATTGCTTAAAAAGTCCTGTATGTGAGGAACTCTTTCATTTTCTTGGGGATTGGCAGTGCGAGCACTTGGTAGGTTGTCAGGAAACTTCGAAGGGCTTTCCGGCATAAGTGCTTCAGTGATGATAGGACCCTAGGAGCTGTCCAGAACTGGACGTGACCGTCCCTTGTCCTGAAACAAGACAAAAACCAATGTGTTAAGACAGACTTGGAAATACATGTTTCATCGTGATGGATATTAATGTTTCTTATACTAGCAGGAGGCTCCCAGACTGAAATGGAATCCTGACTGTTGAAACGGATGTAAAAGCTTGGTGCTGAATAATTAAGGCTGCTGAAAGGACTATAAAGAACTCCAGACACCTCTGACAGCAAAGTGCTATCTCTGTCAGCACAGCTCTTTCTAAATCATATGGAGTTCAAGTGTAACCGAGGGAAGAGTACTACCTACTGAATTATAGATGGTCACTGGAAAGTAGGTGGTCTCTGCCCTAAATGGTTCCCCATATAAATTCTGCATCATCTTAATTTAAGCTTCCTTGTAGGCTTGGTCCATTGGTTGTCATGAATTGTAACTCTTTAATTACATTTACATTAAATATGAGGAGTAAATGGTAACCTATAGTGGCAGAATAAGAATTTTATGTAAGCTTAGATTTCCTTAAAGCCTTCCTCATAGGCAGGAAAATTCTAGATGCTTTCTTTCCTTACAAAGCTACATGGTATACTCAGCAGAAACTGCTGCCCATCTGTTCGGCTGACAGATACATACCCTGTGGCAATAACTCCACCATGTGGAAAAAATGTGCAGCAAAGACCATTGGTCATGGGAGCAAACGCAATTGGAGTTTTCAGTTCCAGGGCCCAGATCCTGAGGAGTCTGGATGAGAGAGACAAGTATGTGCACATCAGCAGACCCGGGGCCAGGCCCCCAGGGCATGCTACGATCACTTGCAAGCACTTGCTCAAGAGGTTTCTCTTGTTACCTGTCATCCGCCACTGTGGCAAGGTACAAGCCTTCCGGAGAGAAGCACACAGATCTCAGGGAGCTAATGTGGACATCACTGTCGTCCATGGCGGGGTCGAGCTGGGTGTGGCTGAGAAGGAAGAAACGCGACAAGAAACCTGGAGAGGTGGCCACCCTCCACCCTTTATCTTCATCCCCAGGCAGGAGGCAAACTGCCCTGGCCATGAAAAGGCTCCCGACACATCTCGGACCCCACATGGAAAGCCTTGGGATTTGCACACTGACAGCACAGATTAGAAAAAAGTGCATTTCTTAAGGCTCTAAGTGTCTTGAGGGGGCTGAAGGGTTACTAACACTCCCTGTACTAGTTTCCTTATGCAAAGTAGGTCAGCTCTCACTTTAATGCCACAGTACAAACTGAAAGTCTTTTTTAGGCGAAGATACATGATAATTATAGGACTACCTATTATTTGCTTCATAAAACAACAGAGATAAAGGGGAAAAAGTAGACTAAATTTGTGAGAATGTGAAAATTCATTTTGGAAATAACAGTTTCGATAAGAGGATCATACTGAACTTGTTACTACGGTTATTAGTAAATGGAAAGAAAGAGTCACTTTGAGGTTTCTTAATGCTGAATCCAAAGAAGTACAGACAGCCTCATATATCAGGGACTTGAAGGCACTCAGGTCTGATCTGAGAACTTAATGGACAAGGAAACACTACCGCACAGCAGCCTGAGAGCGAGCATTGATTCCACTGTGTCTTTTACCCAGGTCGCCCCCTCCCATGCCCCAGACTCTAAAAGGGACATGTCTAAATCAAGGCAGGTTTCTCATCAGTAACCACACAAGGAAGTCATAAGCAGAGATCCAGTCCTTACTGGAGTGACCTCAGTCTCTCGCCAGTGTAGGGGTCCCACATGATCACGTTGGTATCATAAGAAGCCGTGACAAGCAAGGCAGAGTCAGGGGAGAAGTCACAAGAGACGACACTGCTTTGGTGGCCTTCTAGCTTCCGGATTAACGTGTAGGACCGCATACTCCAAAGAAAGACCTACGGAAAGTAACAGGTGTCTGGTTAGGGGCAGAAATAAAGTGCTTAGAACATGAACAGTGAGTGAAAGGCACAGCGATGCCCTCTTTAGGCCCCACGGCCAGGTGAAGCCAAGTTTTCCATTCGCCTTTTCTCCGGCTCTTCCAGAACGTATCATATAGGCTTAACATAATGGGCCTGGATTCTTAAGATGCCTAACCAATGGACATGATCAAGGAGCTCGCTTTAAGAAAGAATAAATGAGGCCAACCTGAGGAAGACTGCCAGCTAACACATGTCAGGACGGGCTTCTGAGTTCTCCTTTTGATCCCTGTTTGCGAATAAGCAGTATGTGCTGAGAAAGCCCTAGGCCAAGGGCTATCTTGTCCTTTTACTTAAAACCAAAAATAGGGGTCCAGTGACCTCCAGAGCTACCAATAAAGTGGGGGCACTGGCCATCTCATTTTACATGCCACGTGTTTACAGGACCAAGGAAATCTGCCTCATGACGGTATGTCTGACATAGCTCGTCGCTTCCTATCTTTTTGAGAGTCGTTACAAGTAGGATTTTACTTAAGAAAACTCTCACTTTCGCATAGTTGCAAACCTCCAATGAATGATTAACCACCTGAGCTGTACCAAATAGTGAATTCTTAACTTTCCTAAGTCAATCACGGCAAACAGCTCCATGCAGATACAAATTCAAACAAACTGTTCCCAAATTGTTCTTGGCTTTCTAATATCGTTTAAAATAACACACAGGACTTTAGGACAAAGTTCAACAAGTAACTGTACATCTTATGATTTGAAATGGAAATCCTAATTATGTAGATTCAAATTAGACGTTTCAATGAAATTTGGAGGCGCATGTGGGTTTCAACTTTTAAAATCTTAGACTCCAAGGGGAAAAGAAATTTAAAAAGCACCTCTCTACCACTTGTAAAGACAAACAGTTCTCCAGTGATGGCAGCACTCGACTTACACACCTCCTCTTTCAGTTCACGTCCAAGTGCAAATCAAAAGGAAGGTGTGCAAGAGGAGGTCGTGGCCCACCAGCAAGTATTCTGTTGGGACTGATGTGCAGGTGGATTTTGAGGACACTTGGCTTGTTCACCCTGTCACACACAAGGCCACTTCGGACCTCTAAATCTTGCTGAATTAAAGCAATATAGGAAATGGCACCTGACGTGTGAGACTTACTGACTTCTCTCCAGCTGCAGAGCACAGCATGCTGCAGTCCGGGGAGATGGAGCAGCAGTAAACCCATTGCAGGTGGCCCGATAACACCTGAATTTGTTTACCTGGTAGAGAAAAGGAGCAAATGGTGAACCAACTCTCAAAACCACAAATCAAAAAGACCGAAGAACAGGTAGTGATGGCCCACCCAACCATATATCCATCCAGTTCTCTGTCGGCTGAGTCCCAATGCCCATTTTTTAATGTAGAGAATGAAATATGACAGAATTTGACATTTAAACATTTGAAATCTATTAATACAATATTCTAATGCCCCAGGGAAATCACTACCTACTGGTTCACCAGAATCCACAGACTACTGGGCTAAAGGATGTACAGAGATCGGGTTTGACAGGTCTCCGTGATAGCGAAGAACAGCCTTTCCAGGCCCCCGCCACCTCCGTTATCTTTCCAAATTCGAGAGTGTTCATCTTCAGTTCTCTCTGTAATGGTTTCCCCCTCGTCACAGGACCCCACTTCACACGCACCCTCTTCCCCACACCAGGGGGTCTGGATGAGCAACGATGCAGAGTGATTAGGGCCATGTGCCCTGGAGTTAGGCAAACGGGTTTAAACCCTGGCTCCACTGTCTACTTTGAGCAAAACCCAAGGGTCACACATGTCATCTTTCCAGGTCTCAGTTTTTGGAAAAAATGCAATGCCCATCTATAGGCAAATGACTAAATAAAGGGTGGTACATCCACCCTGTTAATTCAGATGAAATTAAGGATCTAGATTTTCCATGGAGTACTGTTTAGTGAAAAAAGAAAGATTCAGAAAAAATGTGAAGAATATGATTCCATTTTTGTGAAACACTCACCCCAAAACACATAAATGTGTGAGTGCCCTAATAGGATTATACAAGCATAGAGCAAAATGTGGAAAGAAATATGGAAGGCTCTTGGCATGGGCTAGATTACAGAGGGATTATGGAGGAATTCAAAGGAGGGGAGGGATGAGAAAGATGGTGGAGGAGGGGTGGGAAAGAGAAATCAAGCCAAAAAAAAAGAAAAAAAAATATTTTTAAGAATGTATATGGTCATTTATTTACAGATATGTGTGGGTATATATAAGTTTTTTAAAATAAGTCAGCTGTCAAGTAAGAACAGTACTTGCCTCCTGGGGCAGTTGTGAGTGTTGAATAAATTAAGGCCAGTCATGCAGGGCAGGGCCTGGTACATGGGAACATTATTCCTTTCCTCTCCTTGAAAAGCCGTAACGATTGTCCATTCCGCCCCTCTCAGTCGCCCTCAGCCAGTCCTCCCTTCCCAACCACCAAGTGATTTTCAAAGCCACTCCGAGGACCTTCCTCAGATGGTGGCAAGCTGCCTGTGGACACACATTAAAAATGGCACTGCCTTTGAGAAGCCTTCCCAGCGAGCAGGCCGGCCTTAGATTGTGTGACTACAAAGGTTCCATAGTAATGGACAGAAACTATCCAGAGTTCTCTTAGTGATTAGATACCTTCAGATGAGAACATTACAAACATCTCCTTGGTTGTTTTGACGAATTATCAGGTTCGTTTCTAAGAGGGCAAGAGACAGGTCCCCTCTCATGATTTGGGGAACAGTCATGACTCAGACAACAGTACCAATGCCTATGCATTATCAGGGATGAGTGTGCCTTTTCATGAACTGTCTACATTACCATTTCCTCCTTCCACCTGTCTCTAGCCCCTGCATCCCAGCCTATATGGGGGAGGAATGGTCTGGCAGTGAATTCTCCTTCTCTATGTCACCAGAGATGTGTGAAATTCTTTATTGGGCTGCTCCTATAGATCATTCTGCTCAAGGCAGAATTCCAAAAAAGCTGACCCCTCTAGCCTGAGAGAATTCTTTTAGACCTCGATTCTACTTCACAAAGGAAGTCTATTTCTAACACCAAGCACCAAATATGAATGAATTCTTCTAGATCAGTGGTTCTCAACCCAAGGAGACTTTGCCCTCCACGTGGGCACTGGGCAATGTCCAGAAACGTTCTGGTTGTCACAACTATAGAGGGTGCTACTGGCATCGAGAGGGTGGTGGCCAGGGATGATGCTCCACATTCTAGAATGCACAGAATGGCACGTAACAAAAAATTATCCAGCCCAGAATGTCAATAGTGCTATGACTGAGAAAACGTATTCTACATCATGTATTTTCAATAGAAGTGATAGCAATAGCGGTGAAGATTGTTTCTTGATGGCCCAAAAAGTCCTACCTCTTTTGTATGTACAAAGTGTAAATATACATTCAGTATATGAATAGATATATACAGTATATCTTTGGTATTAAAATCTCCAAGGGGTGAGTGGGGGTGATTTAAAAATATGTCTAAAAAGGCTCCTTAGGAACAATATTGAAAAAGGTTGAGAAACACAATTCTGGGTAAAAATGACCTTGGTAGAGAAAGGAGCAGATATAGTATTTTAAGAGTCACCCAGGAGTTCGTACCATGTTTATTCAGGTCCCAGATGCGAAGAGTCTTATCCCGGGATGCAGAGACCAAAATCAAACTGCCACTGGGTGTGAAGCTCAGATCTCTTACAACATCTTGGTGGCCGGAAAGATTCAAAAGCAGGAGCCCTACGGTGGAAGGAGGAGTCAGTGGGAGAGGTGGCACCCAGTCTGCCAGTCTCGGCTATACCCCTCGGCAAGCTGGGGGCTGGTGGCCCCTCTGGCCCCTGATCAGAACATGCACATAAGCCTCCAGGACCTTGTACCAGAGACGACCTACCTGTCTGCACCTCCCAAATCTTGATCTGCCCATCGTTGAGTCCCGTAGCAAGGATCAGGCAAGAGATGTCTGGCACTTGGGGATGGTGGCGTGCCCAGAGCTTCCTGCTGGGTGGAGAAGGCCACGGGCTGAAGGCCAAACCCCAGACAATCTGCCCACAGTCCAGAGTCTTCTCCTTTGGGCTGCCTCGCCCTTTTGAATCATTTTTGCTGCTTCTGCTTTTGGCTTCAAACTCTTTAGGGATGCTGGGGGAAGTAGAGAATTCTTAATGAGTCTGAAATTGTCACCAAGTCAACCAACTTTTTATACTGGGTTATCTAAGACTTTAAAGTCTTAGAAACAAACTGGCCTTCAGATAATTCTGGTGTGACTTTTCTTTTTAGAGTTCATGTAAAAGAGGCTTCACTGGCCTTGGCTCATCCCATTTGTGATAGTCCTACAATGGGCTCATCCCATTTGTGACAGTCCTACAATGGGGTGACCTGCCTTGTGGGATAACTAGATCACAGATGCTCCAGGGAGCCATACGCTTTCTCAGAAAGTTCTCTCGGGTTTTGGTTTATGGAAGGAAAGATGCACTCAGTTTTTTTTCATGAGAAAGAAAGCACGCTATAGGTTTGGAACTAGGACAGAACTCAGAGCCTGAATACCCACCTGCTGCTCTCCTGCCTGACGAGCCCCCTCCTCCACTTCCCATCTCTAGCTTGGAAAACTCTTAAGAAGCAAGAAAATAAACTCCTTTCTTGCCAACATCATTTGCTCTGCACATGTTGATTTTTGCCTTCACTCGCTATGTGCCAATCAATTAATGAGGTTCTTTCATTTACTTCCCTGATGGTATATCCAGCACAGGAATCAACTAACGGGACAGTCGAAAGAGAGAAAGAACCCACAGAACTACTCAGGGGTGCACTGACCGGAAAGATCTCATAGCTTGACCCACTCCTTTTACATTCTATAGTGAAACATAGGCCCAGATAAGCTAAGTGAGACCCAGTCCCTAAGATAAGGGCCCGTCCACCACTCTGCCTGGCACACAATGTCTCAGAGGCACGAGCAGTTAGACAGCCTGAGGTTTGGCCCCAGAACCTGAAAGTCTCCTGTCTGTGGTACACTTTATCAGCGCAAGTATTAAGTCCTACTTTTTTATGTGACCCTCACCACACTCTGGGGTATATCGAACTAGGGGAAACAGAGGTGATAAACATAGAACTCAGTTCCATGAGAAATCCTATATTAATGTGTACGTAGCTGGACCTCTTTATGTAGTACATTTGTTCCTCCCCAAATTAAGTATATCACATTTTTGTCAGTTGCGTTGTTGAAATAAATATATTTTTAAAATTTTAACCAAGCTTACCTGTAAAATTAGGAGGCACTGAAGTGTAGCCTCCTTCAGCTCTAAAACTCTATTAGTCTAACTCAGAGGTTGGCAAACTAGGCCTCAGCCAGCAGTCTGCTTTTATAAATAAAGTTTTAATGGACCACCACCAGGCTCATTTGTTCACCTGTTATCTATGGGTGTTTTGACACTATTAAAAGCAGACTTGAGTAGTCTCAACCATATTGCCTGCAAAGCCAAAAATATTTGCTACCTGGGCTGTTATAGAGAAAGTTTGCTGACCTCTGATCTAAATAGCCAAATCCAGTCTGAAATTTTGTTATTAAGACAAAACATCTGGATGTGACAATGAACATCTTTTTGATGGGGCCTTCCCCCACACACACTGCAGACCTGCCTGGCCCTGGCATAGAGGCCTGAGTTTGCAATCCAAGGAAGAAATACACAAAAGGCAGACTACGGGGAGAACTTTGTAGGACAGCTTGGAACCTCCAAAGTTATGTTTATCTTTTATAAAATCCTACTTTCTGTATTTGAATTAAGGGATACTTCTGTAGTTACTCTATTCCAAAGAAATTAAGATACGTTTACATATTAATTCATTTTACTACCATAAATTTAATTTCTAGAGATACTAAAATCTCCATTTTAGGGGTGGAGCTGACTTTCCTGGGGTCGCAAAATCAGAGGCAGAATAGGACTGAAACAGAAGTCTTGAATATCCTAGCCTAGTGCTTAACAGAGCCCCTGACCTCCTGAGTTTGTCAATGTATCAAGGGATAAGTTAGTCACATGGAGGGTGGGGAGGGGTAACTAAGGGCAAGGGAGATTCATTGGGAGAACTTAAATTCACTGAAATTAAAGTTTCTAAAAGTTTCATTTCTAAAAGTAGTACAAATATTCGATTAATATCAATTATCTGCTCAATACCAAAAGCACAATATTAAAAGCAGTCCTAACAAAAAAGTAAATGCCCCCGACTCCCCGTTTAAACGACTTAAAAAATTATTTTAAATTATAAAAATAATTGAGAAACATGGGAAAAAATTGGAAATGAGGTAAATAATAGTTAATATGAGAAGACTATATTTATCTATAGTAACTCATGTTTAAGTACAACAGTGATTTTTCAGGAAAACAACAGATTTTCCATTTTATGCTTTTAAAAAGCTTTTTCAGACTATAAATTTATATCAAACTTAAGTCTGGAAATGATGTTAAGTCCCTTGTATTTAGAGTGGGGAGATCACTAAACAATGAATGACCTTAGCATTATCATTAAACTGACCACAGAAGAAATGAAAATCATGGTTTTTTTAAAAAAAAACAATAATCTTTAATAGCTGCAAAAATATATGGAAATGCCACAATGTCCTTAACCATTCCCTCATCTCTAGATTTGAAGCAGTTTCTATTGCTAACTACTATATAATTAATTTCATGATGAAAATCGGTGAATATAAATAGATAGCCCCATTTCTGTGATTCCTAACTGCCACGATAACATTTTTAAGGTCCTCGATGCCTATCGCCAAACAGCCTTCCTTCCAGAAAGTGCACAAATTTATACCCTTCTACCCCAGCAGTGTACAGAGTACCCCATCTCAGCAAACTCTCATCGGCATTACCTATTGTCAAGGCAACAAGTTTCAGGCTAAACTTGTAAAAAACTTTAATATGCAATTTAAAGAAATGTCTCAAGCAAAATAAATGAGACCCTCAAGGGCAGAGACCACATTGGATTTATTTTGGGATTCTCGGCCCCTGTCTGTTTCAGGCAAAGACTGGCAACAAACATTGGCTGAATAAATAAACGCAGACATAGAGCTGCCCTGGGACAGATGGAAAAATGCAGACGCTGGGCTATCTGACTGGGGGCTCGCAGCATTCAGACACCGAGACCTGCCCAGACCTAAGAAAGAAAAACTAGTTAACATCAGAAACTCAATGTGGTAGATAAAAAAAAAGACAATACCCAATTTAAAAATGGGCAATGATCTGAATAGACAATTCTCCAAAGAAGATGTATAAAGGGCCAATAAGCACATGAGAAGGTGCTCAACAACAGCAGCCACCTGGGAAATGCAAATCGAAACCACGGTGAGATGCCACCTCACACCCACTAGGATAGCTGTGCTACAACAAAAAGACACACAATGATATGTGTTGGTGAGGATGTGGGGAATCTGGAAAACTCATGCGCTGCTGGTGGGACTGTAAAATGGTCCAGCCACTTTGGAAAAGTCTGATAGTTTCTCCACCAGTTAAACATAAAAAACATATGAAATCACACATCCATGCAAAATGTGTACATAAATGTTCATAGCAGCACTATTCATAAGAGCCAAAGGTGAAAACGAACCAAATGTCCAAAAGATAAATGTATAAACAAAATGTAATATCTCCACACAATAGATTATTTGGCAATAAAAGGAAATAAAGTCCTGATACATGCGTCAACATGGAAAACTGTAAAAACATTGTTAAGTGAATGAAGCCAGTCAAAAAGAAGACATATATGATTCGATTAATAAGAAATGTCCAGAATAGGCAGATCTACAATGATAGAAAGTAGATTCGTGGCTGCTCAGGGCTGGAGAGTAGAGGAGTTGGAGGGTTCCGGCTAAGGGATGTGGGGTTTCTTTCTGGGATAATGAAAATGTTCTAAGATTAATCATGGTGATAGATGCACAACCGTGTGAATACACTAAAAGGCATTGTATTGTATATTTTAAATGGGCAAATTGTATGGTGCGTACATTAGATCTCAATAAAGCTGTTAAAAAAATTTAGGGCTGACATGGTAGAATTTTCAATGTACAGAACTGGAAAGCCCAATGATCAATTCCTGAACTGTTCAGCCACTTTCCCTCTCCTGTTCTTGGGCGGGGAGACCCAAAAGAGTAGGGAGTGATTCTGGAAAGCGCTCATGTTCCCCATCATGAGGACTCCCGCGCGCCTTTGGGTGCCAGAGTACTCACAACTGTTCCTCCAGCGGCCAGGGGATCAGCTTGACAATGCAGTGTCCTTGAGACCAAGCGAACCAGGAACCATCTGGGGAGAAGGCGACACTCCAGGTTTCACAGCTCGACTTCCAATCAAACTGGTGGGGGCGCCCGGGCTTGAGTTCAGCCAGCAGCAGCGGTTCCTCTGGGACAGGAGACAGCATGCTTCAAACAAGCACCCTCGCTTCCTCGGAGAGTGGGGAGCCAGGCTCCCCAACCACCTCTCTGACTCAGACACAGGAAAGCCACTGTCTCTCCTTGGCAAAAGGTGACACTATGGATTCTGGGAGGGAGTTGTCATTTAAGCGACCTAGGGCAGTAATAGAAGCCACAGGCCACATTCCACCGTGGTTACTCAGTCTTGGCACACCCCACTCCTGGTTAACCGTGACTCTGAGTAATCTTTGGATGGGTAACCCCAGTGAATGGAGGCCTCATTTTCCTATGAATGCCTGAAGAAGAAAGGAGAGAGGACCAGACCAGACCAGACCAGACCAGACCCAAACCAAGCAAGGATCACTTTAGATGATGCAGATCAGGAGGCTTCCAAATTCTCCTCGAAAGAACCGCTACCAGGAAACAGATGAAAAGAGGAGGGTCTGAAACTCAGAGTCTCCCTCTCATTCACCAGCATCCTCCCCGTCATTCAGGCTAAAAGGTTCAGCACTTGCTCTGCTCCCTGTCACTTAAACCTCTTGATACGGCCTCCACTTTCATCTCCTCTCTGTTCTCATTTAAACCTTCATCCCATCTTGCCCAGACCTTTTACAAGACTCTCCGGATTCGTTTTCCCGCCCTCGGGGACCCTGCTAAAACTGAAACACACCACATCCTGCCATTTCTTTCCAATACATTCCACCTACCTACACAATAAAGGCAGCTGAGCCCTGGCTTCCACCGGCTTCCACCCTACACCCTACACCAGTGGTTCCTGCACCCTTTCACCTACACCTTCCTCAACAGCATACTCTGGCCACTCCAGAGTCCTGCCCCAAGTAGCTCATTCATAGTCGCACCTGGACTCGCTTTCTGATTATGAGAATCTTCCCTGGATTAGCACCAGAGAAGTGTACCCTGATAGAGAAGTGTACACTATCAGAGTGGAAATAAGTCCCAACTTGCCTGTTTCATTCTCTCCAGTAGTAACCAACTTCCCTCCGCCCCGCCCCCGCCCCCACCCCAGAATTTAACTAAGCACCCTTGCTCAAAAACACCAAGACAATTTAATCCTGCCTGGCACAGCACCTTGTGAAAAGCAGATGCTGGATTGGCGCTTCTTCACCAACCTGATGGGCAGTTTCCTAGTTCAAGTCTCTACTCCAGTGGAAAGTTCTCGGTAGCTGACGAAGTTCCTAAATTAAAGGGAGGGCTTCGGAATTGATTTTTTTTTTGACCACTGATTGTGATACATATGAATATAAAAATTGGTTTCCATCCTGAATGAGGTCACTTCCTGATGTGTATGTTCCACTTTAATAGTTTCAAGGCTTTGACCCTTTTATAGCTGTTATGAGATAGATACTAATTTAAATAGCCCACATTTCATATATTTTAGGACCCATCTTTACATGTCTTCTCACATTTTGACCTCGCCAAAATCAGTGTCTTACAAGCAATGACTTTTTACAGGTAAATAGGCAGTATTTTTTCTCAATGATACATAATGGCAATATGATTCATAATATCGTGGATTCAATGAAACAGATGGTAAAGATGCATGAATGTGTGCATATATATATACTTAACATTCATATATGTATATAGATTTTCTGGTATATGCATTATAGGAAAATACATGGGTAAACCTTGTTTTATAAAATAAGTATGCTGCTGAAAATTTTGTCTTTAAATAGAATTTTAATAAATCATATCAAGCCTTTGGTGGCTTTGCTATTTAAGGAAATATCCTTTATATTCATTCCCTGAGGGTCTATGTATAAATCTAGGTTTTAAAATATTAGGTCTAAACTGACATTTGTATAGACCCAGGTAATTCTTCCTAGAAATCTGTATGTGTTTGCACATGTGGTCCTTCCATTTATGCCATCACTTGTCAGTAGAAGCACACTCCTCTGGATGTGAATATTTGCATGGTAAGAGCATTAAATTTCTATTTTAACATAAGTGACCACAGTAGGTCTCTTAAAAGTTTCTTCATTCTCTTTATTTCTAGGTATTTTCTTATAATGACAGGGCCCTGCTCTGGTAATGTCTCCTTCATGTAATCCAGCAGTTCTCAACTGGGGGTAATTTCGCTCCCTAGGGACGTGTGGTAATGTCTGGAGACATTTTGGTTGTCACAATTGGGGGTGGTGCTACTGGTATCTAATGGGTAGAGGCCATGGATGCTGCTAAATATCCTACAGTGCACAGACTACCTCCATACAAAGAATTATTTGGCCCAAAATGTCAGTAGTGCGGAGGCTGAGAAACTCGAATGTAGTTAAATATTCAGTGACACTGACTGATCTGGAGATATGTTTTCATCAGTTGAACCAGATGAAAATTTCTTTATTCTATTCTGACATTATTGACACTTGATTCATTTCCTCCACGACATGCACACTATCCATTCTCTAGACAGCATGGAGGCCATACACAATCTAAACAGGGGTCATCCTTGATTTCTCTCTTTTCTAACCTACCATTCCAAATCCATTAGCAAGTTCCATGAAATGTTTCCAAAAGACTTGGCAAACCCAACTTCCCTTTATCTCCATGGCTACTGTTCCAATCTGTGCAACATCATCTCTCACTAAACAGCCTTCCAACTGCTCTCCTAGCTCCTGCTCTGGCCCCTCCCATCCATCCTCCTCACCTCCCAAAGTAATCAGTTTCAATCACTCTTACGATAAAATCCAAACTCCTTACTCTGCCTTCAAAGTGCTGCAGAACTCAGCCCCTGCCTTTGTCTCCCACCTAGGCTTACATCTCTCCTGTGTCCCTGGCTAGTCTAGCACACTAGCCTTCTTGATTATCTTCACCCCTTGATTATCCTGATCATCCTCAAGGAGTTATGACCTCAGGGCCTTTGCACCAGCTACTTTCTTCCCCTGCGATGCTCCTCCATGGCCCGCACCATCTCTTCATTCATTCAGGCCTCAGCTCAAACGCCAACTCCTTAGAGAGCCCTTCTCTGACCCCCAAGCCAATCTCCTTCACAACTCGCTTTCTTTTCTTTATAGCACTGTCACTGATATGATTATTATCTGTCTACCCTCGCCCCCCAACTAGAACGTCAACTCCCTGGGAGTAGAGACCTTGCATGGTTATTCCCATTGCCTAGTGGAGTTCCTGGCAGAGAGCTGGCAGTCAGTAAATATTTGGTGAATAAATATACAGTGGTACACCTCTTTAAATATAAATGAAATGAAGCCCCTTAAACTATTATGATGCCTATGCCAAACGTTTCACATGAAATGCTTCTTAAACATGAGCCAGATCCAGATTTCACACTCTATTTCTGTGATTTGGGGATTTAACCTCTTGCTATTTCAGGCTCAGGAATCCAGGAGCTAAAAGAAGAAAGAACTCAGTGACTCCTGTCTCTTCATTTCTAGAACTAAGGAAATTCTGAAGCAGTGTCTGGGCCCCAACTAAACTTGGCTGCTGGAAGAGAAAGCCATAATTAGTGCAGAACTTAAAAAAAAAAAAACAGCCAAGAGGATCCAGCTTCATCTGGGACTGTACCTGTCACGGCCCTTCTTGGTGAAAAAGATCAGGGTTTTCTAATTAAACCATGGCATGTATATGGACACAAAGGCTGAATGGAAAGATATTTATTATGGGCCTCTTCTGTGAAAGGAGATTCACCTTAACATAGACATGGAAGCTATGGCTCGGGCTGGCAGGAAGCAAGGTGATTTGTCTTGCCTCAGGATCTTAACATTAGCTGTTCCATCAGCCTGGAAAACTGCCTAGCTGGCCCCAGATTTCTGCCTGGCTGCTCCACCTGTACCATTCAGGGCTGTCGTCACATTCTCAGAACCCTTCCTGGCTTCACTACTAAAGTGGCCCAGTCACTTTCCTGTCACTCTATTTAATTTTCTTTATAACCATCTCTCACACATCTTTTCTTGATTGCTTACTTGTTTTTCCGTATTTATTGCCTATCTTTTCCCCTATTCTTACCCCAAATTTGCCTATTTGTTTGTTGCTATTGGGCTGTGCTATCCAACACAGTGACCCTTAGCCACACATGGAGAATGAACATATGAAATATGGTGAGTCCAAATTGAGAAGGGCTATTATGTAATACATGCTCTATCTTGAAGACTTAATACCAAAAATATCTAAAATATATCAATAATTGATCATGATTACATGTTGAAATCACATTTGATATGTTAGACTGACAAACATATAGTTTAAAAACATTTCACCTGTTTCACTTTTTTTTTTAATGCAGTTACTAGAACATTTTAAATTACTTATGTGGCTCGCATCGTATTTCTCTTGGCTAGTGCTGGCCTAGAAAGTGCCCAGAGCCTGGCACATGGAGGACACTCAATAAATATTTGCTGAATGAATAAATGAATTCTAACCACTGCTCCGAAGATATCTACTATTGTCCATTGTAATCTCATTACAACAGGCTTTATTCAGTTTCAAAAGAATGTAAAACTCTCTGGCTTTTTTTTTTTTTTTAACAGTAGCTTGGCAGCTCTCAACAGCTCTGCCCACACCCCAAAACACAGTCGTCAATCATGAGGAAAAACCCAGAACTGGAAACAGATTTCTGCTAAAATGGAAGGCTAGCTACAGATCGCTTTCGGATTTAACTATAAAGAGTCAATGAAAATGACAGCGGAAGCTATAAAAAGATTCACGTAAGATTCAGGCAAACAGTAGGGACCATTTATAAAGAGTTCTTTGGGTAACAGTCACTGAAAAAAAAAAAAAAAAAAGCCCTTATCTAGATGGGAAGGCAGAGAGAGCTGCCTCTACACCTTTTACTGAATGCCTGACTCTAGCAAACAAAGAAATGTCATTTCCCAAATTAAAAAGTTACACCACCCCAGGGAATACCCTGATTTCAACCTACCCACCCACAATCCCCGCTCCATCAAACAAGCCAAGGAAACAAACGTCAACAATCAGAGCAGGATGAAGCCTGAACTTCACTGGAAGAATACAAAGAGATTCTGGAACAAATTCTAAGCCCTAGGCCTTGACCTCTTCTGCGAATTTTCCCTAAGGAAACCAAACCGCCTT